ACGGGGATCTCAGCTTTCTCATCAGCGGCCGGTGCGGGGCGTTAGTACTGGGCGCGAAGACTGAGTGAGCAGGGACGGGGATCTCAGCTTTCTCATCAGCGGCCGGTGCGGGGCGTTAGTACTGGGCGCGAAGACTGAGTGAGCAGGGACGGGGATCTCAGCTCCTGATGGGGCAGGACAACCCAGCGGTCCCTGTTATTGGTGACACTGCTCAGAATCTGCTGATGTAATTTGCCTGAGGTGCTGGAGGCCCGTTACTTAAACAAACAAACAAACACGGGCCTCGCATACTGAAACCAAGCATGGGGACCCCACCCTAAACTTTGTCCGTTGGTCGGTCGGTACCACAGACCGACAGACCAGAAGTGGAAACGATCCTGGTTTCCAAAAACAGAAAAAACATTCATTTTCTGAAAGGTACCGCGGGACACAGGCTCGGCAAAGTCGGCGTGCACTATAAAACTATAATTCAGGGTCGGCAAAAACAGGCTTGGAGGTTTGGTAGTGGTTTTTAAGGAAAAATTTACCTTCTGAGAATTTTCAGACATTGAAGAAATTTTGAAGAAATGCATACCGCAGACGCTTCCTTCCAATGGGGTCCAAACGACACAAAATTTGACACACAACATCCTTGTTCTTGAACTCAAAGAAAAACAGGCCCAAAAAAAAAAAAAAAAAAAAAAAAAAAAAAAAACAGAAAAAAAATATGGCCAACAAATCATGATTTCAGTGTTTACCCCCCTGCTTAACCACGGGTCTGAGGGGGGTGGGACAATCATCCACCCTTCATGCTAGCCGTCTTTTTCCAGAAACCTCCAATCCCTAGGAAGATGACCACCATGACCGAGGCGTTTCCCCCCCGACCTCGCTACAGGTGTCACTACCTTTCTCTTTTTGGGAGTGTCGTCAGCCGTGCCACTGGTCGACGCACGCGTGTCATTACTGCCTGCCTGCTGCCCTGCCACTGCTGGCGCTTCGTTCTCCTGTTGTCGAAGCCCTCCACGACCATCTGCAAGATGCTCTTTTGCTTCAGACGATGGTCGTAATGCCGCTGCCCGAGTGCGTTTCCGCCTTTTCTCTCCTCTGCCGGGTTGTGCGCAAGACGGATTTGCAGCAGAACCATCGTAATTGCCACTTTCCCCATCCGGCCCCCTACCCCGGGTAGGCTGATCACCACCATCCCCGCTACCCCGGGAAGGGTGGGGATCACCATCCCCCCTACCCCGGGAAGGGTTGGGACCACCATCCCCCCTACCCTGGGAAGGGCCAACGCGGCCACCACTCCCCCCCCTCCCTGCCTGTTCAACACCGCGAGGATGCGGACCAGCACCCCCCGCCGCCCTCGGCTTCCGCCTCGTGCTATCGAAGACGGCCTTCACGCCGACGCTCTCCGGTTTCGAAACCTGTTCCTCCAGTTTCACAGGTAACCTTTCAGCATCCAAGAGATGACCGCAAGGCGGCAGCTTTGGGTCTTCCAGCAAGGTCCCGAGATCGAACCCTCGCTCAGTTGCAGTGCTCAGCAGCAGGTTGTATGCAGGCACAGTGTCACAAATCATCTGGCACAGAAGGACATGGAATCGGGACAGGCAACCGAAGGCGATCGCGGCCATTCTCCCAAAGGTTTGAGACGCAAGGAGGGTCGCAACCCTTGCAGCGGCTATCAATGCAGCTCTGTTAATCCTGCTCATCAGCTTCGCTCCAGCCCACAGGCGCTTGAGTACGTTCTGTACCTGCGCGTACTCCTCATCGGAGGGCGAAGAGGAGCAGGAGGATGCATCGGGTCTCGATCGCAGCTTGATGCAGAGATCCTGCAGGTGCTCATGAAGACCGACTTTCCGGAGCAGATTCATTCCTTGCCGCACGGCACGCAGACGTTGGAAATACAATGTACACCGATGCTGGTTGTTGTTCTTGTAGAGTATCCGATCGAACATCGTGGACTCTGCCCATAGCGATGGCTGCCGAAGCTTTTCTGCACACTCCTCCAAACTGCACATCCCGCTCGACTGCACCATTCTCGTTGTCGCTCGCCTTCCTCCCACTCGCCCTCCAACCCTCCCTCGTGCCGCCACCCTTGCACACGCCTCCCTTTTCCAACTGTTGACCCCACCCACCAACCCCCTCCACACAGACAGACACATAAACAGAAAGTGCCACACACATCGAAAGACAGAGAGAGTAAGAGGGAGAGGGAGAGGGAATGCGAAAGCAGTGCACACACATTGAAAGACACAGCAAGGGAGAGGGAGAGCGAGAGGGAGAGGGAGAGGGAGTGCAAAAGCAGAGCACACACATTGAAAGACACAGCAAGGGCAAGAGAGAGGGAGAGGGAGAGGGAGAGGGAGAGGGAGAGGGAGATGGAGAGGGAGAGGGGTAGGAGAGGGAGATGGAGATGGAGAGGGAGAGGAAGAGGGAGATGGAGATGGAGATGGAGATGGAGATGGAGAGGGAGAGGGAATACGAAAGCAGAGCACAAATATACACTGGGGAACAGGAAGGGAAAAGGAGCTTGGTAAAGAGTTGACGACAACAGCACACAGCAACAGATGCAGACTGCCATCGACAGTCAAACAGAGTTGGATTCAAATAAACTCGGTCACAGATTTCAATTCCAGTAAACCTATTCACAGAGTCACGGATTATTTTTGGCTAAAATAAACTCAGCCAAAGAGCTCAATTCAAGCAAACTTACCTGCAGAGTTGGATGCAAATAAACTAAGTTCCAAGAGTTGGATCCAAATAAACTGGTTGGATCAAAATAAAATAAGTTACAAGAGTTGGATCAAAATAAACTAAGTTACAGAGTTGGATCCAAATAAACTAAGTTACAGAGTTGTATTCGAATGAACTGACATACAGAGCCACAGAGTAAAGTTGGATTCAGGCGGCCAGCTAGGAGGGGGTGCTCACATCACCCCTCCTAGAGTGGCAGTGATGTTAACAAAAAAAAAAAAAAAAAAAGGATTCAAATAAACAAGGGTAGGACGAGATGGAGCGTGGGTTAGGGGTCTTCTGAGGGGTAAAAAAAAAACTAAGTAAGAGTTGGATCGAAAGAAGTTGGACTGAAAGAAGTTGGATCGAAAGAACCTAAGGAACAGAGTTAGATCCAAAAAAACCAACTAACAGAGTTAGATCCAGAGACAGAGTTGGATCGAAAGAAACTAAGGAACAGAGTTAGATCCAAAAAAACTAAGTAACAGAGTTAGATCCAGAGTTAGATCCAAAAAAACTAAGTAAAGAGTTGGATCGAAAGAAACTAAGGAACAGAGTTAGATCCAAAAAAACTGAGTAACAGAGTTAGATCCAGAGTTAGATCCAAAAAAACTAAGTAACAGAGTTAGATCCAAATAAAATAAACTAGATCCAAAAAAACTAACAGAGTTAGATCCAAATAAAATAAACTAGATCCAAAAAAACTAAGTATCGGAGTTGGATCCAAATAAAATAAACTAGATCCAAAAAAACTAAGTAACCGAGTTAGATCCAAATAAAATAAATAAACTAGATCCACAAAAACTAAGTAACAGAGTTAGATCCAAATAAAATAAATAAACTAGATCCACAAAAACTAAGTATCGGAGTTGGATCCAAATAAAAAAACTAAGTACCAGAGTTAAATCCAAATAAAATAAACTCAGTAACAGAGTTAGATCCAAATAAACTAAACCAAGTAACAGAGTTAGATCCAAAAAAAGTTAAAAAACTAAGTAACACAGTACAGTTGGATTCAAATCAACTCCGTGACAGATTTCAATTCAAATTCCAACCCAACTTACCTGCAGAGTTGAGTTGAATCGCAAGAAACTAAGGAACAGAGTTAGATCCAAAAACAAAGTAAGTGACAGCTGCAGAGTTGAGTTGAATCGCAAGAAACTAAGGAACAGAGTTAGATCCAAAAACAAAGTAAGTGACAGAGTTCGATCCGAAAAAACTAATCCAAAAAAAAAAAAACAAGTAACAGAGTTAGATCGAGTTAGATCCAAAAAAACTAAGCACACACAGCTATATCCAGTACACACAGTTAGCTCCAAAAAAACTTAAGTACACAGAGTTGGATCCAAGTAAACTCAGGAGGACACACAGTTAGATCCCAATAAATAAATAAACTAAGTAACAGAAAAAAATTGCATCCAAATAAGCTACGCACCCAGTTACCGAGTTCGATTCAAATAAACAACTTCGTCAATTAGCGAGTCACACCAGTATGCAGACGAACACATTTCAACCAAAAAAAAAAAAAAAAAAAACGAAACATGCAAACCTACAGGAAGCCCAATCGCAGCCAGCTATGTCTCTGACACTCTTCTGTGCTTGCTGTTCGCCTTGCACTCTCTCTCTCTCTCTCTCTCTCCCTCTCTCTCTCTCTCTCTCTCTCTCTCTCTCTCTCTCTCTCTCACACACACACACACATGCACGTGAGTCAGAGAAAGGAGAGCGCGAGGTACACGCGATCTGGGTCCGAGGGGCGGGGAAGACGGCGCAAGGGGAGATGACGCAAGCCGGGG